ATGGTAAAAGTCTTATGGGTAAGGTATCAAAATTAGAATGTTACCTTTCCACTTTTGTGCTTGTCTAATACCCTTCACACCTACAATGAGCTCTTCCACTTTTTGGCTTAGCTCTCTCCCTACTTCCTTTCTCTTACATCCTTTAAATTATCTACTGCCTATTAACCATTTTTTTTCTGATTTGACTAATAGGCCATCCTGATGGATCGTGATAGATAGGGGACAATACCAAAATATTTACATATGCTATCAAAATTTGCCCATATCCACATATACTCTTACCGATATCAAAATTAACATTCCACCGATACCTCGAAATACACTCCAGATTAATATACTTAATCCACACCTACTGTTAAACTTCTGACGTTGCCACAGCTGCTGAACCCACTGCTGAATGTACATTAATGGTATATAGTTCTGTCTTCCAATTATGTCCTAGAATTTGTACTGATAAAAGCACTGGATGGAGAAAAGTCCACAAAGATACCCAGATGTTGCACACTTGTCTAATTTTCACCACTGGAATGCTTCAGATATATTCATCGCCCTACTGAAACCTTCGGTAGCTGTGACAAGATTTTATTCTATGGAGGGAAAAAAAATGTACATAAATGGTATAGGTAGCTCTTGTTACCACTAGTCTTAATAGGGTACTCTTACTGTTGGTGTATAAAACTTAAGTCTCTAACTTTACGTACCCACTCCTCGACAGTGATATTTAAACGGGTATCGTGCCGAAGATTTAGATTACTTATTTAAGATTTGCAGGGACTTAAGTAATCTTAAGGGAAAATATGTAATTACAATTGCAGATATTAAACTAAACTGATGCAGTCCGAAGTCTACCTACCTGAAGTGTATTCCGGGGATCAACGTACCTGCGGCCCAGTCCACGACCAGGCCTCCCGGTGGACCAGGGAACCAGGCTAAACCAGTAGGATTATACAGCGCCTGTGATGGGGAAGGGAATATGGAAGGCATCCAGGCTCGAGTCTGGGAACTGGAACACAGATCCATTCCCTAGATCAAGAGCCCCTCAAAAGCGTCAAGGAACCTTCCTCGAGGGGCCAGGCTGGTACTGCTGGCCACACGCAGTCTTAACATACGAACCACAGCCCAGCTGATTCGGCACCGACAAAGTTTCTGTCCAGCTTCCTCTTTAAGGCAGCCAAGGGTCTATTGGTAATTCCCCTTATGCATGGGAGGATGTTGAACAATCTTGGGCCCCGGATACTTATTTTCTCTTATTGTACCACTGGGGCTCCTAGTTTTCATTGGGGATATTTTGCACAGCCTGCCCAATCTTTTGCTTTCGTAGGGACTGATTTCCGTGTGCCGATTAGGAACCATTCCTTCTAGGATTTTCCAAGTGTAGATATGATACATCTCTCGTTTGCTTACCAGCGAGTACTTCCAAGCGTTTCCAGTAGTCAGCATTTATTAATAGACAAAACTGGTTTATCCAAACTTTTATTTTTCTTACTCAGGATAAGGCACGTGTGGCTTATTCAACAATGGGCCCCTATATATTTTTATGCATTACCAATGCGAAGCCAATGATGATCCTTTTTAATCACTTACTCTCTCTAGGTTGGAATACTGCTGTACATTAATATACCCATTCAAGGCAGGTGAAATTGCAGAACTAGAGAATATACAGAGAACCTTTACCGCACGTACAAGTTCCATCAAACACCTTAACTACAGGGAGCGCCTGGAAGCACTTGACTTGTACTCACTGGAGCACAGGCGAGAGAGAGCTCAATCTACACCTGGAAGATTCTGGAGGGACTGGTCCCTAATATGCACACAGCAATCACTCCATACGAAAGCAAAAGACTTTGCAGGCGATGCAACATACCCCAGTGAAAAGTAGGGGAGTCACTGGTACACTAAGAAAACGCAGTAAGTGTCCGGGGCCCAAGACTGTTCAACAGCCTCCCACCAGCAATGAGGCATTACCAGTAGACCCCTGGTTGTCTTCAAGAGGGAGCTGGACAGATACCTAAAGACGGTGCCGGATCAGCCGGACTGTAGTTCGTACGTTGGACTGCGTGCGGCCAGCAGTGACAGCCTCGTTGATCAGGCCTTGATCCACCGGGAGGCCTGGTCGTGGACCGGGCCGCGGGGGGCGTTGATCCCCGGAATGCCTTTCAGGTAGACTCCAGGTACCCATACGAGGGAAGAGCAAGGTTTGATTAGAATAAGTGTTATACACAGTGGAATTTTACGTAAGTATTAACCACGAGGGAAAGAAAATTATGATATATAAACATTCAAAGGAGAATACACGTGTGCTTGCAATAAGTGACCGGGTTTTCTTTGTACCTGTCAAGTACAGGTACAAAGGAAGACCCAAACGCTATAAATACCAATTAGTAAAGCTCCAGATAATACGCTGCAGTGCTGTCTGTTTAACAGAAGGGAAATATACTATCTGCTGGCCGAATACAGTAGCAGCGAAGGAGGGACTTGTGGGGGCTTTAGTTCCCAAACATCCAAATATATTCAATGACCATTTTCACTTGTGCTAAAAAGTCGACAAATGCACGTCGCCGCCCCCCCCCCCTCCCCCCAAACAGATTGGAATTCTGGCTGTGCCACAAATAAAGATAATTTATCGATCAGTAATTCGTCAAAACGGCATCATTACCACCAACTACAACCTTCACATGTCTAACCTATTCTTTGCCACAATGTTACAGGCCATCCTGCCATCCTGAGAATTTTAATAACTGCAATAACTACAATGCCCAGTGTTAAGTTCAAATTATCGTCATGGCAAGTCTAACCCTATGTGTACCTCATTTTATTAACGAGAAACCTTCACCCCCTTCCCAATTCATTCATCCACCCTGCCCATAGTACTATCATCCATTTTCTCTTCCATCTTATGAAACCTCGTCGCCCTCTTATATACATGCATCTTCCTCTCCCACATTCATCAATCCCTCTCTCATCCACTGATCTCCCCTACCGCAGCTACAAAAAACTCTTCCTACTACATTCATCCTCTCCTACATCAATCATCCCCTCCCCTTACAATACAACAATCCATCATCCTCCCTCTCCCCACTCATCCACAATTTAGCATAAAAAAGACCAGTTTCCTCCCTAGTAGGGAGACATGGACAAGTCTTATATCTGATGCCCATGTTCACTTGACAAGATACTGGTGTGTATCCAATAACAGTATTAATACAGATGAAAGGGATACCGAATCCAGTTTTCAGCATGAAACTGCACAGGTTCTCCCTCCAGATTTAGATTGCAGCACTTTTTTGACCCTTACGAGTTCAGCATAATTTATTATCTAAATTTAGAAGCCTTTGGGTATAATGGGGAAGCAAGTTATGACTTGCCAAACCCAAATGCAAATTTTCTAGCGACACTACCAAGCGTATATACGATAAGCTTGTTAGACCCAGTACAACATTAAGATTTTTTATCCATTTTAATCAGTAGGAAGCATTTAAACTCTTGGGACCTCGGGAATGGGAGGAATGCAGGCTAGATCAAAGGAAGAGATAAATTGGTGCCTAATCCACAGCCCTTCACCGGCATCAAGGTACCTCCTCAGAAAGGAAAGGATTTAAAATAGAATTAACTTCAGAGCAACACTAATTCACTTTTATAAGGCATTCCACAAATTTAAAGAAAAACCAAACGACTAAGAAGTCCAGTGGCCGCGTCATCGAAATATGTGAATCACTAGGCGCTGAAAAAGTACTAGACATTTAGTAGACTGAACTCGTCCCTCCATCCCCGGCCAGAAGCCATACTAAACCAGCAGTCCACATCATTTACCTCAGTATTTTTTATACAAAACCTACATGCCCTCTGCGTGGTTTGACAAGCAGCAACATTCTCTACGATCCACCGAGCAGGAAGCCTTAAGAGAGCTGTCTGAACTATTAGTCACTGGCATGAAGGCGACTAGTAGGCTGGTAGACGGCAACCATCACACGCATTACCCTCCTGCTCCTGGCCTGGCCAACTATTTTTTTTTTTTTTTAATGGAGCCTGTTTTTTTTCTCTCGTATGGCTACGCAAGACAATTTTTTAATACTCTGTATACACATCTTACTTAAACATAACTAATATTTCCTTTAAATTTTTGAAGTCTTGTACACAATAGCAGGAGCTATAATTTTCCAAACTAGACTCAACTTTCAGTAACTATGACTAATCCACCCAATATATTCAGGAACCATCCTCACAAAAGCTGTACTTATGCAAATGACACTAGACGAATACTGTTCAGTTTATCAGCGTATAAACCACGTGGGTTAAGACTCAAAATCCACCTTTTCATTGTCAAGTACATTAAGTGTATATAATGTAAATTACCGCAGTCATTGCTAACGTAGCAGGTTATTATAAACTGAAGAGAGGTTAGTCATTTTAACTTACCGTAACAAACCTTGTCACTCCTACCGTAAGAGTCAAAAGGACCCCAATGACAATAAGTCAGACTTTTTTGGGTTATCCCAGGTTCTCTACACATGCTGCTATTTATGATCTATAACTATTTGTGTGTACCTGAATAAACTTCTTAACCTGTCATATAGCCGTCGGAAGGCACTAAACCCACAGGTTACACAGCGCCTGGGGAAGGGGGTAATAAGGTTAGTAAAAGGAGGGAAGCTCCAGGTCACTGGATCAAAAGCTCTTCGCTATCACCAAAGTTCCTTCCTTCCTTGCAGAGATTTACCATAAAAATTGAAGAGGTGCCGGTATTATTAACATACAAAATTTAAATTTCTTACTGAATGTGCAACCATTTTAACTAGTGCATTATAACTTTTTATCCAGCATGATGTCTTGCACATGGTTAAGAGAGATGAAGAGCGTCGCACTATTCCTGTCATGGACCTCAAACTTGAGCCACGCTACAAAAGCCACCAACCACGCCATCCTGGCTATTTTTGGGGGAGGGGAAATTCAAAAATTTCCCCGTTACTCAGCAGGCGCAGAGAGGCGACAATATCGTTTACCTTAGAGCCGATCTGATTGCCGCACTGGCCGGCCTGCAGGTGGACGATCTCCCTCATGACGGCGGTGACGGAGGCAACAGCAAGAGGAGAAGGAAGAGCAACGTATACACCGTGCGAGGGTTGTGAGGTGACTGAGGGTTGCTAGTGAGGGTCGCTGCCACTGTGCTGTGTTTAGTCTCCACCACCACCACCCACTACCTCACCCTCGCATATCCTTCAATAAACACTACTGCAACCTTAATTAATTCTCTAGACACCATTTAATCAATATCAAATCGTCACTATTACTTTTTCTTGTTTGCTATAGGAACGAGACTAGTAGAAAACATCGAACTTCTTTTTATACAGAGGTGAAGCATCGCGGTAACATAACCCGGATAATAATATCAGAGATCTGAACACGTGAAATATAACAATATAATTCCCCTAAAAACGTTTCTAAAATTTAAAATTTTCTGGAGCAGACAATTTAAATAATCTAGAATGATGCGCCAGGGGTCTATCAGCCATCAAACATTTACAAGCTGCGGTAACAACGTCAACGAGATTGTGATCATAAAAATAAAGAATTATTATTGCATTACTGGTAGTTGGAACTCATGGAGAAAAACGCAGGTTCGATCCTAGTAAAGGGAAGATAACTCGGATTCCTTAGATTAAGAGCCCCTCACCAACATCAAGGTGAGGGAAATGAAAGTAAGGAAGTTTACACCATACCTATTAATGGGCCATACTGCCCACCTATATATATATACATATAAGTTACCTGTAGCTGTTTCCGGGGGCCACCGCCCCCGTGGCCCGGTGCTGGCCCAGACCTCCTGGTTGATGGTTTGATCCGCTAAGCTGTTGGTACCCGTGACCCAGCCATTAAGTATTATTTAGGTTATATACACATAAGGAATTACCAACAGACCCCTGGCTATTCTCAGAAGGAAATCTAATTACGTTCCTGAAGTCAGGAATTGCCAGCAGACTCCTGGCTGTCTTCGAGAGAACTTGATAAATTTCACAAGTCAGTTCCTGATCAGCCAAGTTCTGGTGCCTACGATGAAACTGCGTGTGGCTAGCACGAACAGCCTGATTGATCAGATCATCCACTGAGAGGCCTGGTCTAGGACCCGGCCGCGAGGACGGTGGCCCTCGTCGATTCGACTCCAGTCATATACATTTAAAATTATACAACGATCTTGATATTGTAAGTATGTTATAGGCGCATATTTACATTTATATTATTATTATTATTAGTGTCGAGTGCTTCTCCATTAACACACACACACACACACATGGTACGTGATGAGGTGTCAAAGTGGGCGCCTGTGACAAGCGGGGTTCCACAGGGGTCAGTCCTAGGACCTGTGCTGTTCTTGGTATATGTGAATGACATAACGGAAGGGATAGACTCGGAAGTGTCCTTGTTTGCGGACGATGTGAAGTTAATGAGAAGAATCAAATCGGATGAGGATCAGGCAGGACTACAAAGAGACCTGGACAGGCTACAAGCCTGGTCCAGCAACTGGCTCCTTGAGTTTAACCCCACCAAATGCAAAGTCATGAAGATTGGGGAAGGGCAAAGAAGACCGCAGACACAATATAGTTTAGATGGCCAAAGTCTGCAAACCTCACTCAAGGAAAAAGATCTGAGGGTGAGTATAACCCGAGCATACCCTCCTGAGGGGCACATCAATCAGATAACTGCTGCAGCATACGGGCGCCTGGCAAACCTACGGATAGCGTTCCGATACCTCAGTAAGGAGTCGTTCAAGACTCTGTATACCTTTACGTCAGGCCCATACTGGAGTATGCAGCACCAGTTTGGAATCCACACTAGTCAAGCACGTCAAGAAATTAGAGAAAGTGCAAAGGTTTGCAACAAGACTGTCCCAGAGCTACGGGGATTGTCCTACGAAGAAAGGTTGAGGAAATCGGCCTGACGACGCTGGAGGCCAGGGGGGGTCAGGAAGACATGATAACGACATTTTAAAAATGCGCGGAATAGACGAGGTGGACAAAGACGGGATGTTCCAGAGATGGGACACAGACACAAGAGGTCACAATTGGAAGTTGAAGACTCAGATGAATCAGAGGGATGTTAGGAAGTATTTCTTCAGTCATAGAGTAGTCAAGGTGTGGAATAGCCTACAAAGTGAAGTAGTGGAGGCGGGAACCATACATAGTTTTAAGGCGAGGTATGATAAAGCTCAAGGAGCAGGGAGAGAGAGGACCTAGTAGCAATCAGTGAAGAGGCGGGGCCAGGAGCTATGAATCGACCCCTGTAACCACAAATAGGTGAGTACAAATAGGTGAGTACACACACACACACACCCACACACACCAGTGCTGTTTCTGGTATTTGTGAACGACATGACGGAAGGAATAGACTCTGAGGTGTCCCTGTTTGCAGATGATGTGAAGTTGATGAGAAGAATTCACTCGATCGAAGACCAGGCAGAACTACAAAGGGATCTGGACAGGCTGCAGACCTGGTCCAGCAATTGGCTCCTGGAGTTCAATCCCACCAAGTGCAAAGTCATGAAGATTGGGGAAGGGCAAAGAAGACCGCAGACGGAGTACAGTCTAGGGGGCCAGAGACTACAAACCTCACTCAAGGAAAAAGATCTTGGGGTGAGTATAACACCAGGCACATCTCCTGAAGCGCACATCAACCAAATAACTGCTGAGCATAAAGGGCGCTAGCAAACCTCAGAACAGCATTCCGACATCTTATAAGGAATCATTCAGGACCCTGTACACCCTGTCCCTTAGGCCATATTGGAGTATGCGGCACCAGTTTGGAACCCACACCTAGCTAAGCACGTAAAGAAACTAGAGAAAGTGCAAAAGGGTTTTCAACAAGACTAGTCCCCGAGCTAAGAGGTATGACTACGAGGGAGGGTTAAGGGAAATCAACCTGACGACACTGGAGGACAGGAGAGATAGGGGGGACATGATAAAGACATTTCAAAATACTGAGAGGAATTGACAAGGTGGACAAAGACAGGATGTTCAGAGATTGGAACAGTTAACAAGGGGACACAGTTGGAAGCTGAAGACACAGATGAATCACAGGGGTGTTAGGAAGTATTTCTTCAGCCACAGAGTAGTCAGTAAGTGGAATAGTTTGGGAAGTGATGTAGTGGAGGCAGGATCCATACATAGCTTTAAGCAGAGGTATGATAAAGCTCACGGCTCAGGGAGAGTGACCTAGTAGCGATCAGTGAAGAGGCGGGGCCAGGAGCTCGGACTCGACCCCCCCAACCTCAATAGGTGAGTACAACTAGGTGAGTACACACACACACACACACACACACACACACACACACACACACACACACACACACACACACACACACACAGCAGGTTAAGAAAATGGAGAAAGATCAGAAATATGCAACAAGGTTTGTTCCTGAGGTAAAAGCATCAGCTGCTACGAGGGGAGATTAACGGAATTGACCTAATAACATTGTGGCACCGAAGAACCAGAGCGACATGATAACATAACAAAACACTCAGAGGAATTTATCTGATAAGATAGATAGGGATAGGCTTTTTGAAAGGTAAGAAACAGGAACCTGAAGTCACATTATTATTATAATCACGAGGGAGCGCTAAGCACTTAGGGATTATACAGCGCCTGATGGGGGCATGGAAGGTATTCAAGCTTAATTCATGGAACTGAAGCACATATCCAGTTCCCTAGATCAAGAGCCCCTCACCAGCGGAGTTCTGAAGTCACAGATGAGTCACAGGGATGTTTGGAACTATTTCTTCAGTCTTAGAGTGGTTCGGAAGTGGGATGATCTTAATAAGGAAGTATTGGACGCAGGTTCCATACACAGTTTCAAGAGCAGGTACGATAGGGCTTACGAGGCTAAGGAGTGAATCTGAAGAGTGGCAAGTTAAGATGAAGGACCAGGATCCGAGAATCGACACCTGCAACCACACACACACACGTTAGGAAGTATTTCTTCAGTCATAGAGTTGTTAGGAAGTGGAATAGTCTAGCAAGTGATGTAGTGGAGGCAGGAAGCATACATAGCTTTAAGACGAGGTATGACAAAGCTCAGGGAGCAGAGACAGAGGACCTAGTATCGATCAGTGAAGAGGCGGGGCCAGGAGCTGAGTATCGATCCATGCAACCACAATTATGTGAGTACACACACACACACACACACACAGGAGCTGAGTCTCGACCCTGCAACCACAATTAGGTGAGTACACACACACACGCGCACACACACACACACACACACACACACACACACACACACACACCACACACACACACACACACACACACAACACATATATATATTATATATATATATATATAATATATATATATATATATATATATATATATATATATATATATATATATATTTTAATATATATATATATATATATTATATATATATCCATGCAGCCATGGAAACAAGCGATTGCATCAAAATTTGTACTACTCGGCTGCTCGTACCCAAACTGGAGTGAGAATGAAATAAGTCTCTGGTGATAAAAAGAAGCACGTCTAGCTTCTTCCTCTCGAGGAGCAAACCTAGTAATAATATGAATTTATCAAGGCTTAAAACTAAGGACTAGGCTAGTTCTGGTGCCGCATGCTATATGAACTGTCAAAGTTTTATCCCGAGTGGTATGAGACGTGTCAGGTGTCAGGCAAGTCTCCTGACACCTGCTGCCTGTTACCCTGGTAGTAAATAGGTACCAGAGAATTAATAGACTGTTGTAGATTGAACTGTAAAACCCGAAAGACTACTATATAAGCCACGGATTTACTTACTTTTGTTATTTTTACTTATTATAATAAGCCACCCCTGGGTAATAATAAAGTCGCCGGCTTTTGCTGGCTGTTAGATATGAAAGAGATCAGAGAGCAGGATACATAACCCTGGGAACATATTTTGCCAGGTTGTAAGTCATTCGAGACGGTCTCTCACATGAATATATAAGATAACATTAAGATTAGATTACGAGAATTGTTCCAGTTATCAGCTACTATTGTTGAAGTTTTAATAAGTTGTGACAGATCTTGCTTCCTTTAAAAATATTATGTGACATTCATTTCCCGGCATTTTCTTTTTTTGTTCTTCGTAGAATTAATGGAAGGTGATCTTCTGATGTAATGCTGCATTTTTAAAATGTATTATAAGTTTCTCTTCTAATGTCTTTCGTCGATAACTAAAATATAGGTGAAGCTGTGGAAATTTTTTGCATAATTTCCTAAATGTAGAACATACAAATGAATAATATAACAACACAACTGCGTATTAAAATGTGATGCTATTTGGACCCTTCAAGAAATTTCGACGGGGGAGGCAGAACAGCCGGGGGGGGGGGGGGGTGACGCAGCAGAGGGGCACGCCATTTGTAATTTGTGAACACTTGTTGTCATGGGAAATTCTGCCAATAATCCAGCGTCTTCCGAGCCAAATTGGAGGTTTCGGCTTGAATTTGTAATTACGAACCCATGTTAATGTCCCCTGCTGAAGAATTGGGACAGGAAATTTGCGGGACCTCAAAAATTACGTGTAGATGGCGGAAGATAAGGATTATGACATCACTCTCAGGGAAGTGCGCCGTTAGTCCTTGCATTTAGATCTCTAGCTGGCCAGTGTAGGGTCTAGGTGTCAGGCAGGTGTGGTGTGATCCAGCTACAGTAATTAAATGGTAAGTGGTAATAGGAATTTCTTTTGTGTACACAGCAAGCCCAATCATATTCAGTCCACAGCTTTAATTTACCAGAGTAGCCGGTTTTAATATTAGAATTATTAATTTAATGTCAGGTCTAGCTTTGTGTGAGTGGTAGGGAGTGTGCATCAAGGGTGTTACAGTCCTGCGACTTACTGTGACTTAAGTCCCACTTACCTCACCCAAATTACTTGCAAGTAATAATTCAGGTAAAACCCTGTAAACCTCCTGCGGGTAATTTACTCACATAATAATAATTCACAAAGAAGCTTTTCTTAATGAGTACTAGGACTTGGGGTCTTGTTTGGCAAAGGTCAGTTCATAATTTCAAGCCCCCTACCTGCCCATGCTGTTACATTTATAATATTAAGGGGTATCAGTCTGCATTATCTTTAGCTTGCAGGACATATAAGTTGCATAACCGTACCGTCGTTTGTTTACAATCGTGTCATTACGATTTCGTGAGTCAATCTTATGTTAGCTGAGTAACAGTTGAAGCTCATTTTTTTGGAATGCTTGAATGCTTGTAGTCCTCTTGGTAGCGTGTCTGGCAAATAACGCACGCACATACACACACACACACACAGGGGCCAGGAGCTGAGTATCGACTCCTGCAACCACAAATAGGTGAGTACAAATAAGTGAGTTCACACACACACACACACACGTGGACAAAGACGGGATGTTCCAGAGAAGGGACACAGACACGAGAGGTCACAATTGGAAGTTGAAGACTCAGATGAATCAAAGGGATGTTAGGAAGTATTTCTTCAGTCATAGAGTAGTCAGGCCGTGGAATAGCCTAGAGAGTGACGTAGTGGAGGCGGGAACCATACATAGTTTTAAGGCGAGGTATGATAGAGCTCATGGGGCAGGGAGAGAGAGGACCTAGTAGCAATCAGCGAAGAGGCGGGGCCAGGAGCTATGAATCGACCCCTGCAACCACAAATAGATGAGTACAAATAGGTGAGTACACACACACACACACACACACACATCCTATGAAGAAATGTTGAGGGAAATCGGCCTGACGACACTGGAGGATAGGAGGGATAGGGGAGACATGATAACAACATACAAAATACTGCGTGGAATAGACAAGGTTGACAGAGACAAGATGTTCCAGAGAGGGGACACAGAAACAAGGGGTCACTCTTGGAAGTTGAAGACTCAGATGAGCCACATGGATGATAGGAAGCATTTCTTCAGTTATAGAGTGGTCAGGAAGTGGAACAGTCTGGCGAGCGATGTAGTGGAGGCAGGAATCATACATAGCTTTAAGACGAGGGATGATAAAGCTCATGGAGCAGGGAGAGAGAGGACCTAGTAGCGTTCAGTGAAGAGGCGGGGCCAGGAGCTGAGTCTCGACCCCTGCAACTACAATTAGGTGAGTATATATATATATATATATATATATATATATATATATATATATATATATATATATATATATATATATATATATCGTGCCGAATAGGTAAAACTGGTCAATTAGCAAAAACTCGTTTAAAATTAAGTCCTTTCTAAAATTTTCTCTTATACGTTTAAAGATATATATATATATATTATATATATATATATATATATATATATATATATATATATATATATATATATACACATATATACATATACCCTCATCCTCAGAGAAGACAATGAACGTACCTCAGGGAAAACTCAAGGTTCTCCCCACAGCTGTTTGAATATTTTCTTCTACCACCACCTATATTTTATATTCTATGGGAAAATTTATTAATGGATAGAATACATTTACAGGAAACACAAACATGAATACAGTGGTACAATATGTTAAAGATTATGGACTTCCTCCAGCTCCGCCGAAGCCGGACGCGAGCCAAGTATACATATATACATGTATTCAGCAGGAATACAGGACCTTAACTATGCCAGTGCCATCGCTGAATGGGAGACTCTTGCTGCTCCAGCGCCAAACCCTAGTGCAACACTGGCTCACAGTCAAGCTGGGATGGCGCGATCGCTGAAAAGGTGCTTGCCAACATGCTCAGGGCTGTAACATCAGACTGGCCATCTCCTTGCTGTGAGCGCACATCACTCCGGAAACTTCCTCAAAACAGTTCCCATATCGGCAATGGGAACGCGCCTCGACTCTAAGACCCTCCGTATTGCAGTGGCTCTGCGCCTTGCTGCCCCAATTCACACGGAATATACGTATATCTGCGGCGAAGCGCAAGCCGACCAATATGGTCTACACGGTCTTAACTGCTCCAAAACCAAGGGCTGGCATGCAAGACACAATGAGGTCAACGACATCATAAAGAGAACCCTTGCTACAGCTGGATGCCCAGCCGAGAGGGAGCCCCGATCACTAGCTGCCAACAATACCCACAACCCAGAAAACCGCCACAACGGGATCACCATCTATTCTTGGAAGAATGGTAAGTTCTTAGTATGGGACTATACCTTTGTGTCCACGCTGGCTGACACCTATATCCGTCACAGTGTTGGGCGACAGGGAGAAGCTGCCGACCACAGGGAGGGGTACAAGATCAGCAAGTACAGGGACATAAGCCAACAGTATCAATTTGTCCCAGTGGGATCAGAGACCTTGGGATCATGGGGAAAAAATGCTACACGTTTTCTTAAAGAATTGGGTTCCATACTCATCGACACTACCAGGGACCCAAGGGCAGCCACTTTCATGTTCCAGCGCCTCAGCGTAGCCATCCAGAGAAATGCTTGCTGTATACTTGGCTCGCATCCGGCTTCGGAGGAGCTGGAGGAAGTCCATAATCTTTAACATATTGAACCATTGTATTCATGTTTGTGTTTCATGTAAATGTATTTTGTCTATTAATAAATTTTCCCATAGAATATAAAATATAGGTGGTGGTAGATGAATAATATATTCAAACAGCTCTGGGGAACCTTGAGTTTTCCCTGAGGTATGTTTATTGTCTTCTCTGAGGATGAGGGTCCCCAGACCAGTATAGAGGTGGTACCTCCCTATATATATATATATATATATATATATATATATATATATATATATATATATATATATATATATATATATATATATATATATATATATATATACTATGTGCGTGGTTGCAAGGGCTGAGCCACAGCTCCTGACCCTGCCTCTTCACTAGTCTACTAGGTCACTCCCCGCTCCAAGAGCCTTATCATACCTCTTCTTAGAGCTATATACGGATCTTGCCTCCACTACCTCATTCTTCAGATTGTTCCACTTCCTGACAACTTTAACATCCTATGACTTATCTGACTTCCTAACATCCCTATGACTTATCTGACTTTCCAGCTTTCAGTTGTGTTCCCTTGTTCTTCTGTCCCATCTGAAACATTCTAGCCCTGTCCACCTTCTCAATTCCTCTCAGTATTTTATACGTCGTTATCATGTCGCCCTGTCCACCTCAATTCCTCTCAGTATTTTATACGTCGTTATCATGTCCCCCATCCCTCCTATCCTCTAGTAAAACACTGATGGATGAACATAAGAGAGTTCCCTTATGTTCATCCATCAGTATATTATTATTATTATTATAATCAAAAAGAAGCGCTAAGCCACAAGGACTATACAGCATCCATCAGTATAAAATGGGTACCTGGGTGTTAGTCGACTGGTATGGGTCGCATTCCGGGACAAAATTGACCTAATTTACCCGAAATGTTCAGCATAACTCCGGCTTTCTATATAGTAGTATGTCATTGATGTCAGCTAGGCCTGTATACCTTGTGCATGTACTTGTAGAAATAAAAAATAATATTTAATAAATAATAATACTTACCTTCTCCCCTTAAGACATACCCCTTAGCTCCGGGACTAATTTTATTGCAAAACTTCTACACTTTCTTCAGTTTCTTGATGTGTTTGACCAGGTGTGGGCTCCATACTGGTACTGCATACTCCAATATGGGCCCGACGTACACAGTGTAGTGTCGTGAATGACTCCTTGCTTAGATATCGAAAAGATATCCTCAGGTTTGCCAGGCGCCTATATACTGTAGCGATTATTTGGCTGATGTGCGCCTCCTTCAGTGAGGTTTGCAGCCTTTGATTCCCTAGCCTGTACTCCCTCTGCAGTCTTTTTTGTCCTTCCCCAGCTTCATGACTTTGCACTTGGTAGAGTTAAACTCCAGGAGATACTTGTCGGACCAGGCTTGCAGTCCGCCCAGATCCCCTTGTAATTTTGCCTGATTCTCGTCCGCTTGTATTCCCCTCATCAGTTTCACATCATCAGCGAACAGGGACATCTCTGAATCTATTCCTTCCATCTTATCATTCATGTGTGTGTGTGTGTGTGTGTGTGTTAGAACACATTAGTTTTACAATTACACAAGTTTTCTCACAGGAAAAAAAAAAACTTCGCAGAAAAATAATTCGTTTAATACAGATTCAGATACAAAGCTTTTTTTTGTGAGTCAATAATAATAATGATATTATTATTATTACAATTATTGTTGGTGTCTGTAGACTACCTCCACCACTACTACTGATGCTATTGCCCCACTACACTCTTTGACTCTCATGTCACTACCACTACTCCCTTCTTACCACTTCTGGCACTATTTTACTACTTACTACTGCTACTACCTCTACCACTACCTCTGTTTTTATACTACTACCTCCTGTCGTTCTCCTGGCCTTGCCCCCTCTTGTATATACATTGACTCTCTTCCCTTCGCGCTTCTGTGTGACTAGTTAATGGCCCGAAACATTTTCTTAAGTTTCATTCTCCTATGTGCGGGTTATTTGTGTATTGTTCCAATCACAGTAGTATTGTGCCTTTTTATTATTTTCCGAGCATGATACAAACATGATACAAGCATGGCACAAACATGATACAAGCATGGCACAAACATGATACAAGCATGGTACAAACATGATACAAGCATGGCATAAACGTGATACAAGCATGGCACAAACATGATACAAGCATGGCACAAACATGATACAAGCATGGCACAAACATGATACAAGCATGGCATAAACATGATACAAGCATGGCACAAACATGATACAAGCATGGCACAAACATGATACAAGCATGGCACAAACATGATACAAGCATGGCATAAACATGATACAAGCATGGCACAAACATGATACAAGCATGGCATAAACATGATACAAGCATGGCACAAACATGATACAAGCATGGCATAAACATGATACAAGCATGGCACAAACATGATACAAGCATGGCATAAACATGATACAAGCATGGCACAAACATGATACAAGCATGGCACAAACATGATACAAGCATGGCACAAACATGATACAAACATTATACAAGCATGACAAACATGATACAAACCATGATACAAACATGATATAATGATTCAAACATGACACAAACATGATACTACTATGATTGCCTCCCACTTCCCATGGACTGGATGACCTTGACGGCTTTAATGCTTTTCCACGAATAATAATTAATAATTATTACATGAGAAGGTCCAACATCTGTGAGTCATGAACGAACCGTTGAGATCGAGTTATTGTGATAATTGTGGGGATAGTTATTGTGATAATTGTGGGGAAGAGCTAAATCCGTAGGTGTTGCACATTGCCTGGGGAATGAAAAGAAATCAGGTTTGATTCAAGGAAGAGGAGGGTAGCTCTAGTTCCGTAGAACAAGAGCCCTTAACCAGCATGAAGACATTTCATTGAAGGGAATGAAGAGTTAAACTCAACCTTGGAAATAAAGCTGCAGAGGCGAGCCATTTTTCAAACCATCAGCGTAGAGTGAGACAGTGTATGTGTGTGTGTGTAGTCGTAGTAGTAGTAGTAGTAGTATAGTAATAGTAGTAGTTACTAGTTGTCAAAGGCACTTGTCGATAGACACTTGACCTGTTATGTATGGTGTGATTGTTGGTGTATGCAGTAGTTACTAAATGTTAAAGGCACTTGTCGACAGATCTTGGTCTGTTTTGTGTGTAGTGCGATTGTTGGGGTGTGTGTGTGTGTGAGAGAATGAAAATGCTGCTTATTTAACACTCAAGTAAAAGTTCTTGCTCCTGAAGCTTTCCTCAGTGGTGGGCTTAAATTCACCTTCAGGAAATTGTCTATCAAATGATGTGAGCAGCCGGGAGTGGTTCATCCTGTCTATCATTACACACCACAAACTAGTTAACCAAACTTAGATAATATAATTATGATATAAGTTATTATCTGGCCTACTGACCATTATGTTCAGTGTCCTTCCTCTTTCTATATTCAGGAAATGAGTCTGAGACTTTTTTAAGTTGTAACAATAATTTGCTAAATAATATTTATTTGTCCACCTGTCTGTCATGGCTACTATGGCATTACTCTCTACTTTCAATTTTGTCATCACAATGTATAGTTTTTACTATTATTAACAACATATTTTTATTTGATAAATATCAACAGTAATCATTTTCTAAATAACCATTGGTGTTATTTTTATTGACATTAACTTTTTTATCAGAATCAGCACTGCTAAGTATTCGTGCAAACCTTGTAAATGTGATCTCAAAAATGCTCCATTTGTAGAGTATAAAGCTAAATGCCACGACCTGAGCGACGAAGGGCACTGCCCATGCTACCCACTGTATACTAGTATCGTGGTGCTTCACTATCTGAGGCAGAGACATACCCAGCCAACACACGGTAGTCAATATTGTGGCTATCTTCTCCTTGGATGCGGTCATAGCGTACAGTGCAGCTATCGGCAAGGGCATAATAAATCGGAAAAAGATGTCGGCAACACTTCCTGTACATAAAGGCTTGGTGGTGCACAAACACATGATATAATTAAAAATGATGGGTGCTGCAATTACAAATATAAGAAACCACCAACTGATGACTGCTGCTACCATAGCCATAGAGACGATACGTCCACCTGTAACACAAACATTGTAAGTTGACAAGACATGTGCAAGAGTTAGGTATCTATTACGAAACGCTTCGCCTACACAGTAGGCTTCTTCACTCGAATAGAGTGAAGGCAACTGAATCAGTAGAGATGTACAGATTAAATCGTCTTTACGTCTCTACTGCCTCCTCTGTATTCGACTGAAGAAGCCTACTGTGTAGGAAAAACGTTTCGGAATAAAGACACCTAACTGTTGCACATGTGTCTCTGACAAAACCTAGCACAAAGTATTTGTATCTACCGAGCGACACTTTATCTGTCATTGTAACATTTATAGTTATGTTAGTAGTGTCCACAGTACTTCTAAAACAGAGATCAACTGCTTGATCTTAACTTAAACTTAGTTACATTTGATTTCAACAACTATTTTTTATATGAAAATATGGCAAATGACAAAATATTTGAGGAAAATCAAAATGTCTTCTGTACCCATATATAAACAGAAGCACGTCAAGACTTACACATATTGAGAGAGACGGACAAGAAAATAAAGAAGAAATCTGTGATGGGGATTGTTTCGTGTTCCTCCTCGTAGTGCTCCTTCCAGATGTAGGTACACATGCCCACCACTGCATGAACTGCAAACACCGAACTACCAACTACCATTACAGTAACTGTTACAACACAAGAGTCAACGTTGTAGTACAGATATCCAACTGAATCTTGTCTAAATCATTTTTTATTTACATTTAAGAAGTGTAATATGGACATGGTACATATTATGTTATAAAGATCTAGTAAATACAAACATCCAACTGAATCTTGTATAAGGCAGCGTTTTTTTATTTACATTTGTTTAAGAAGTGTAATACGGTACACCTGGATTCATACCAGGTGACCATTGCGAATTCCTCCCTTTTTAAAATTACGTTGCCTTAATTTTTTATCAAATACTTTTTAAGGTTATACGTAGATATAGTTAAATTCAGCAGAAGATGCATTATATTGTTTATATGAATTGTGGAAAATTAAAATTACCTGTATGAACCTCATAAGATACATACCAGTAATTGGTATTATTCTTTATCAAGGTTACAAAGACATGTAGGAATTTTAGGACATCCTAGGTCGCAAAAAATGTCCCCCTTCGATACCTACTCCACTCTATCTCCACAAGTCACTCTGGACTTATATTAATTTCAAATGAAATATACATCACCAGGAATTATGGTATAACATTAATATAAATATGTGGACTGTATGTTAAATTTAATAAATGACTACATATACACATTTATGTAACAGAAGGCGAATTTATAATAATAACACTCACCAATTTGTCTGGAGATTACTTGGTGTGTCATACATAAACTCTTGCCTAAAATATGAAGAAAACGCTGGCCAGAATTTCAACATAAATATAGACATTACTCAACTGGGGTGATTTTATCCTCTTCCCATCTAATTACGGAGTCCTGTCCAGTTGCCTGTTTATAACATTCTACAGGACTGCAAATCCAACAATTTCTGCTCCTATTTGAGAGGTTTTAAACAATTTAACCTCTAGAGCGACGAAAATTCTTCTAATTTTCACTAACGTTCTCTTGCCCAGTTCAAAAACAATGGCCTCCTTCCTTCCCCAAGCGACGCTAACCCTATCGCTGGTTCCTTTTTTATTTACAAATTAATTTTTATTAACTACAGTATATTTCATCAATTTACATACAAAATACACTGTATTTTCGGAAAATATACATTATTTTCCACATGAATAATAATTGTGAAACAGGGACTAGCAGAGGCAGCTGACTCTCTTAAACATCAGTGAATGTAGAATATAACTGAGAGCTGTGTGGATTGAAATGAAAGTGGTATGTGAGAGGTGAGTAAGTCTGTGATGATGCACCTGGAGGTGAGAAAGACTTTACACTGGCTGGAATTAAATTTAAGAAACCTTTTAGCTGACTAGTCCTGCAATTTGTCCAGATCCATTTGAAGCCTTTCCTTGTCCTCTTCTGCTTTTATCATCCACATAAGTTTTACGTCATCAGCAAACAGGAATATATATGAATCAATCACATCTGTAATGCTATTCACATAAACCAGAAATAGTACTGTTCCTTTTTCAACCCCTCTAAATTTCCTCTTCTAAAATCTGTTTTTTTTTTTTTTTCACTCCTCTACTTACCGTACTTCCCGCTACCTTTAGTTCCACTAGGCACTCGAAGTTCAGAATCGCACGATCACTAGCGCTCAGAGGGATCTCATATTCTTTTTCACCTGTCAGGTATACCTGTGGCAAACACTGGGTCCAGTCTTAATGGTTAGTCATCTCCTCTCTCCCCCTTCCATGTCCTTAACTAGCTGACTCAGAACATTTTCTCTTATCACCTCCATCAACCTAGTCCCCCACATCTCCGGTTAGGTTAGGTTAGGTAAGGTTCGTCAGGAAACAGGACAAATGTTTCCTGACGCGGGTCTTAGTCAGATGATGACCCGCCTTTGGAGCTTTAGGTCATCTGACCGAGGCCTTCCGCTGGCTTACCGGTCCACCCCTTTAAAAATTATGGTCATTTATAACCAGTCTGTCCTCCACGTGGGTTCCAGTTCTCTCAGTTCATTTATCTATGGTTGAAATCACTCGTTACAAGTATAGTTTCATTTTAGCCCTAAATGCACTCCCGGCTGCTTCTGCTATGATGTCAACAATCGCTCGGATATCTTCATATTTCATATTCCCGCTGTCTCTTATTATTAGGTGATGTACTGTGTATCACTGCAACTACTACTCTGGGACCACCGGTCTTAACTGACCATTCTATGAAAACATTTTTTTCTTAGATCTATTGTTTATTCCTCTCACTTCTTCTAAACTCCACTGATTTCTGATTAACAGTGTCACTCCTCTGCCTCTCCTGTCTTTTCTTAATATGTACTTGGCATCCTGTTGGAAATCTGGCATTTGATGTTATTCAGCTTTGTCACTGTGATACCTCTCATGTCTAGAGTGACCTCACTTGTTCGTTCCTTAGAAAAACCATATACATTAGTGTACTACACTCTGAAACTACTTTTTCTTACAGTACACTGATGTGTGTATGTGTGTGTGTGTGTGTGTGTGTGTGTGTGTGTGTGTGTGTGTGTGTGTGTGTGTGTGTGTGTGTGTGTGTGTGTGTGTGTGGATGTGTGTGTGTGTGTGTGTGTGTGTGTGTGTGTGTGTGTGTGTGTGTGTGTGTGTGTGTGTGTGTTGTCTATTAATTATTATGCAAGCAACACTCACAGTCTTCAGAATAGCTGGTAATGTTCCACCACAATCTGATCATGATGAACGTCTGAAACAATACAGCAACTCTTAGATTTATTGTACACATAATAATAATAATAATAATAATAATAATAATAATAATAATAATAATAATAATAATAATAATAATAATTATTATTATTATTATTATTATTATTATTATTATTATTATCATTATTATTATTATTACATGTATTATTATTTATATGTATTTATTTTTTTTTAAGTTTTAATTTTGAAACTGTTATACGATCAAATATTCATACAGCGAGTAACAGAGTTCAAAGTTTTCTTCAGATGAATCAAGCGTCTATGACTAAAAAATATTTCGAAATTGGAAAAAATATCAAGCGTGCTCTATATGTATTACAAAAACAAAACAAAAGAGCATAGTCATAAAGATTTTCTTGTTTTAAAATAATTATATATATATATATATATATATATATATATATATATATATATATATATATATATATATATATATATATGAATGAAATGAAATGAATGAATGAAAAGAAGTTGGATGTCCTGGCCCTAAGCGAAACAAAGCTGAAGGGGGTAGGAGAGTTTCAGTGGGGGGAAATAAATGGGATTAAATCTGGAGTATCTGAGAGAGTTAGAGCAAAGGAAGGGTAGCAGTAATGTTAAATGATCAGTTATGGAAGGAGAAAAGAGAATATGAATGTGTAAATTCAAGAATTATGTGGATTAAAGTAAAGGTTGGATGCGAGAAGTGGGTCATAATAAGCGTGTATGCACCTGGAGAAGAGAGGAATGCAGAGGAGAGAGAGAGATTTTGGGAGATGTTAAGTGAATGTATAGGAGCCTTTGAACCAAGTGAGAGAGTAATTGTGGTAGGGGACTTGAATGCTAAAGTAGGAGAAACTTTTAGAGAGGGTGTGGTAGGTAAGTTTGGGGTGCCAGGGGTAAATGATAATGGGGGCTCTTTGATTGAACTTTGTATAGAAAGGGGTTTAGTTATAGGTAATACATATTTTAAGAAAAAGAGGATAAATAAGTATACACGATATGATGTAGGGCGAAATGACAGTAGTTTGTTGGATTATGTATTGGTAGATAAAAGACTGTTGAGTAGACTTCAGGATGTACATGTTTATAGAGGGGCCACAGATATATCAGATCACTTTCTAGTTGTAGCTACACTGAGAGTAAAAGGTAGATGGGATACAAGGAGAATAGAAGCATCAGGGAAGAGAGAGGTAAAGGTTTATAAACTAAAAGAGGAGGCAGTTAGGGTAAGATATAAACAGCTATTGGAGGATAGATGGGCTAATGAGAGCATAGGCAATGGGGTCGAAGAGGTATGGGGTAGGTTTAAAAATGTAGTGTTAGAGTGTTCAGCAGAAGTTTGTGGTTACAGGAAAGTGGGTGCAGGAGGGAAGAGGAGCGATTGGTGGAATGATGATGTAAAGAGAGTAGTAAGGGAGAAAAAGTTAGCATATGAGAAGTTTTTACAAAGTAGAAGTGATGCAAGGAGGGAAGAGTATATGGAGAAAAAGAGAGAAGTTAAGAGAGTGGTGAAGCAATGTAAAAAGAGAGCAAATGAGAGAGTGGGTGAGATGTTATCAACAAATTTTGTTGAAAATAAGAAAAAGTTTTGGAGTGAGATTAACAAGTTAAGAAAGCCTAGAGAACAAATGGATTTGTCAGTTAAAAATAGGAGAGGAGAGTTATTAAATGGAGAGTTAGAGGTATTGGGAAGATGGAAGGAATATTTTGAGGAATTGTTAAATGTTGATGAAGATAGGGAAGCTGTGATTTCGTGTATAGGGCAAGGAGGAATAACATCTTGTAGGAGTGAGGAAGAGCCAGTTGTGAGTGTGGGGGAAGTTCGTGAGGCAGTAGGTAAAATGAAAGGGGGTAAGGCAGCCGGGATTGATGGGATAAAGATAGAAATGTTAAAAGCAGGTGGGGATATAGTTTTGGAGTGGTTGGTGCAATTATTTAATAAATGTATGGAAGAGGGTAAGGTACCTAGGGATTGGCAGAGAGCATGCATAGTTCCTTTGTATAAAGGCAAAGGGGATAAAAGAGAGTGCAAAAATTATAGGGGGATAAGTCTGTTGAGTGTACCTGGTAAAGTGTATGGTAGAGTTATAATTGAAAGAATTAAGAGTAAGACGGAGAATAGGATAGCAGATGAACAAGGAGGCTTTAGGAAAGGTAGGGGGTGTGTGGACCAGGTGTTTACAGTGAAACATATAAGTGAACAGTATTTAGATAAGGCTAAAGAGGTCTTTGTGGCATTTATGGATTTGGAAAAGGCGTATGACAGGGTGGATAGGGGGGCAATGTGGCAGATGTTGCAAGTGTATGGTGTAGGAGGTAGGTTACTGAAAGCAGTGAAGAGTTTTTACGAGGATAGTGAGGCTCAAGTTAGAGTATGTAGGAAAGAGGGAAATTTTTTCCCAGTAAAAAGTAGGCCTTAGACAAGGATGTGTGATGTCACCGTGGTTGTTTAATTATTTATAGATGGGGTTGTAAGAGAAGTAAATGCGAGGGTCTTGGCAAGAGGCGTGGAGTTAAAAGATAAAGAATCACACACAAAGTGGGAGTTGTCACAGCTGCTCTTTGCTGATGACACTGTGCTCTTGGGAGATTCTGAAGAGAAGTTGCAGAGATTGGTGGATGAATTTGGTAGGGTGTGCAAAAGAAGAAAATTAAAGGTGAATACAGGAAAGAGTAAGGTTATGAGGATAACAAAAAGATTAGGTGATGAAAGATTGAATATCAGATTGGAGGGAGAGAGTATGGAGGAGGTGAACGTATTCAGATATTTGGGAGTGGACGTGTCAGCGGATGGGTCTATGAAAGATGAGGTGAATCATAGAATTGATGAGGGAAAAAGAGTGAGTGGTGCACTTAGGAGTCTGTGGAGACAAAGAACTTTGTCCTTGGAGGCAAAGAGGGGAATGTATGAGAGTATAGTTTTACCAACGCTCTTATATGGGTGTGAAGCGTGGGTGATGAATGTTGCAGCGAGGAGAAGGCTGGAGGCAGTGGAGATGTCATGTCTGAGGGCAATGTGTGGTGTGAATATAATGCAGAGAATTCGTAGTTTGGAAGTTAGGAGGAGGTGCGGGATTACCAAAACTGTTGTCCAGAGGGCTGAGGAAGGGTTGTTGAGGTGGTTCGGACATGTAGAGAGAATGGAGCGAAACAGAATGACTTCAAGAGTGTATCAGTCTGTAGTGGAAGGAAGGCGGGGTAGGGGTCGGCCTAGGAAGGGTTGGAGGGAGGGGGTAAAGGAGGTTTTGTGTGCGAGGGGCTTGGACTTCCAGCAGGCATGCGTGAGCGTGTTTGATAGGAGTGAATGGAGACAAATGGTTTTTGATACTTGACGTGCTGTTGGAGTGTGAGCAAAGTAACATTTATGAAGGGATTCAGGGAAACCGGCAGGCCGGACTTGAGTCCTGGAGATGGGAAGTACAGTGCCTGCACTCTGAAGGATGGGTGTTAATGTTGCAGTTTAAAAACTGTAGTGTAAAGCACCCTTCTGGCAAGACAGTGATGGAGTGAATGATGGTGAAGTTTTTCTTTTTCGGGCCACCCTGCCTTGGTGGGAATCGGCCGGTGTGATAATAAAAAAAAAATATATATATATATATATATATATATATATATATATAATAATATATATATATATATAATATATATTATATATATATTATATATATATTATATATATAATATATATATATATTATATATATATATATATATATAATATATATATATATATGACCACGAACGAGTGGTATAGATCAATAAACAACACTGCGACTAGCCAAGGACTCGAACCCATGCTGCTTTGGCCTGCCTCATGATGGGCGAAAACTCATGACGCCTTAATCCACTGGACCATACAATCCTTAAAAGTAGCGCATCCAGCGGAACTGGATGTTGTACTTGTACCCAAGGACATACGATGGTGTGGATGACTCTAGGCTAATTACATTCTAGTCCCTGTTTGGTGTACTAGTACAACGATATATATATATATATATATATATATATATATATATATATATATATATATATATATATATATATATATATATATATATGACTTTAGAGGTGGACATAAAGTTTTCTGAAGTTGGTCAGTTGATTATCTGGAGTTTGAAGCCTATCAACTACACATGGGGTCATTAAGGCTGCATGTAACCTATTCACCACTGATCAATACTTTGAATGCCTAAAATAGAGATTAAAGTATACAGTCTGAGTATATATACACTGAGAGACATGCATCTGTCGGTATACATATCCGGCAGCCTAATCAGGAAGAGAAATTTGAAGAAATTGATGTAGGATTTTAATGGGACAAAATATTACGGGTGGCACAGTTGTTTAGTTAGAAAAGGATGGAAGGGTGTAAATAGAGGTAGTAAGTGTGTAAGGAGTAATAATGGGAAGTGTGCATACCTGAAACACAGCCTGTACGAGGGAGCCTACTGAAGTATGGAAGATCCTCAGTGTTGCTACCCAGTAGTTGATGCTCCAGCTGCTGGGGTCTTTTATCCACTCCAGGGTCCTGTAGCAAGTAACAACCACACTTTAGTTACTGGAAGCAAGTAACAACCACACTTTAATTACTGGTAGCAAGTAATGACCACAGTTTAGATACTGGTAGCAAATAGCAACCACATTTCAGATACTGATAGCTAGTAACTACACTTCAGTTACTGGTAGCAAGTAACAACTACACTCCAGCTACTGGTCACATTACACATGAATATCAGCGCTACAAGCTAGTGACTGCTTCTACATCTAGACTGCGCTAAAAATATCCTTAAAAAATTCAACCAGCAGAGGTGGATAACCATACATATAATTTTTTTTTTATTTAAAACAGTGCGATACAAATGACAGAAATATATTAAAAAGATACACGACAAAAGATTACTGCACTAGAATCGCACTTAACCCGAGACCTAATAACGACACCATACAGTACAGTGGTAATACACACTCACACACACCACACCGTATGTTACATTGGTATTACACTCACACACAACACACCGTATATTACAGTGATAATACACTCTCACACACAACACACCGTATATTACAGTGGTAATACACTCTCACACACAACACACCGTATATTACAGTGATAATACACTCACACACAACACACCGTATATTACAGTGGTAATACACTCTCACACACAACACACCGTATATTACAGTGGTAATACACTCTCACACACAACACACCGTATGTTACATTGGTATTACACTCACACACAACACACCGTATATTACAGTGGTAATACACTCTCACACACAACACACCGTATATTACAGTGGTAATACACTCACAACACACCGTATATTACAGTGGCAATACACTCTCACACACAACACACCGTATATTACAGTGATAATACACTCTCACACACAACACACCGTATATTACAGTGGTAATACACTCTCACACACAACACACCGTATATTACAGTGATAATACACTCTCACACACAACACACCGTATATTACAGTGGTAATACACTCTCACACACAACACACCGTATATTACAGTGGTAATACACTCACACACAACACACCGTATATTACAGTGATAATACACTCTCACACACAACACACCGTATATTACAGTGGTAATACACTCTCACACACAACACACCGTATATTACAGTGGTAATACACACACAACACACCGTATATTACAGTGGTAATACACTCTCACACACAACACACCGTATATTACAGTGGTAATACACACTCACACACAACACACCGTATATTACAGTGGTAATACACTCACACACACAACACACCGTATATTACAGTGGTAATACACTCTCACACACAACACACCGTATATTACAGTGGTAATACACTCTCACACACAACACACCGTATATTACAGTGGTAATACACACTCACACACAACACACCGTATATTACAGTGGTAATACACTCACACACAACACACCGTATATTACAGTGGTAATACACTCACACAACTCACCGTATATTACAGTGATAATACACTCTCACACACAACACACCGTATATTACAGTGGTAATACACTCACACAACACACCGTATATTACAGTGGTAATACACTCTCACACACAACACACCGTATATTACAGTGATAATACACTCTCACACACAACACACCGTATATTACAGTGATAATACACTCTCACACACAACACACCGTATATTACAGTGGTAATACACACACACACAACACACCGTATATTACAGTGATAATACACTCACACACAACACACCGTATATTACAGTGGTAATACACCCACACACAACACACCGTATATTACAGTGGTAATACACTCACACACAACACACCGTATATTACAGTGATAATACACTCTCACACACAACACACCGTATATTACAGTGATAATACACTCTCACACACAACGCACCGTATATTACAGTGATAATACACTCTCACACCCAACACACCGTATATTACAGTGATAATACACTCTCACACACAACACACCGTATATTACAGTGGTAATACACTCTCACACACAACAACACACCGTATATTACAGTGGTAATACACTCTCACACACAACACACCGTATATTACAGTGATAATACACTCTCACACACAACACACCGTATATTACAGTGGTAATACACTCTCACACACAACACACCGTATATTACAGTGGTAATACACTCACACACAACACACCGTATATTACAGTGGTAATACACTCTCACACACAACACACCGTATATTACAGTGGTAATACACACTCACACACAACACACCGTATATTACAGTGGTAATACACTCTCACACAACACACAGTATATTACAGTGGTAATACACTCACACAACACACCGTATATTACAGTGGTAATACACTCTCACACACAACACACCGTATATTACAGTGGTAATACACTCACACACAACACACCGTATATTACAGTGGTAATACACTCTCACACACAACACACCGTATATTACAGTGATAATACACTCTCACACACAAACACCGTATATTACAGTGATAATACACTCTCACACACAACACACTGTATATTACAGTGATAATACACTCTCACACACAACACACCGTATATTACAGTGGTAATACACTCTCACACACAACACACCGTATATTACAGTGATAATACACTCTCACACACAACACACCGTATATTACAGTGATAATACACTCTCACACACAACACACCGTATATTACAGTGATAATACACTCTCACACACAACACACCGTATATTACAGTGATAATACACTCTCACACCCAACACACCGTATATTACAGTGATAATACACTCTCACACCCAACACACCGTATATTACAGTGGTAATACACTCTACACACAACACACCGTATATTACAGTGGTAATACACTCTCACACACAACACACTGTATATTACAGTGGTAATACACTCTCACACACAACACACTGTATATTACAGTGGTAATACACTCTCACACACAACACACCGTATATTACAGTGGTAATACACTCTCACACACAACACACCGTATATTACAGTGGTAATACACTCACACACAAAACTATACATTACAGTGGTATTGTTTTATTTGTTAAAGAACATCTCTAACAAGGTTACATATTACCAAACATCAAACACTGAAAATTATGAAGATTGTACAATAAAACAGAGATAAAAAAAAAAACAAACACGCACAATGACACACATACACAAGCACACACATTACACTACATGAGACTACATCAGGCACATACTAGGTGAGGTTTCTGCCTGTCAACACACACGTTACACTACATGAGACTACATCAGGCACATATTAGGTGAGGTTTCTGCCTGTCAACACACACGTTACACTACATGAGACTACATCAGGCACATACTAGGTGGGGTTCCTGCCTGTCAAACACGTATGCAAGACTAATTCTAAGATCTCAGGTGCTTAACAGAGCACCACGATACTCAAAACATTAATATTGGCGATTATCACGAGATCTTAACATACATAGGTATTTACTATTCAAAGAAGGAAACGGGATAATACTAAAAGTCACTATAAAAACATCCAATATAACAAAACAAAACTACGATGTGATATTTTACATCTCAGCAAAACAAAGAAAAATAATACAAACTAGTTACATGTAATAGAATATTACTGAAAAGCACACTGTAACACAGCATAAAATATAACATAAAATAAAAACCAATTGCTTATGCTAGGAAACACTTTTTACCACTTACAATTGAATCAAAAACAGTAAAGACACCTATTAACATATTTGAGTCTCATTGAAAATTTTCACCATAAAGTCCTTGAAATGATTTATACATGATAAAAAATATGCAATCGTAGTGCTACATATTTCTAAATGATAACTGTGTAGTTGCTGAAACCCTCGGGGTAATAACCCTATTGCCTCTAGATATCAAAACTCAATTATACATCCATATAAACAGCTCTCCATGCTCACACCCAAGTCTAGGAAAATAGCCCGTCGTATCCCTTACCCATTTTGCAAATCCCATAAATCCCTTAATGTGAAATTTCGATAACCCTCACTAAAATCTCTCTCCCATCTCCCTCCATACACCCCTTTATTTCTACACTGTGTCCTATAAAAAGTTGCTGCCAATGCATTAATTCTTGCAACGCACGTCGCCTCCCTCATAGCCCACATCATGTATATATAATCCGTAATCATATACCCAATCGCATTCTCAACCCTTTTATTCACCCCAGTTATATCTAAACTTAAAACCCTCAAAACCTGCAAACCCCCTCCCCCCACTAACCTTAAAACCTTACCCATCCAAACCCTTATAAGTTCAATACAATCGCAAAAATATACTGTATGATAAATAGTCGCCAATCCTCCACAATCCTTGCATTCCCCATCCTCTCGTATTCTCTTATAGAATAAAACCATTCCTGACGGCAAGATTCCATGTAAAAATCTATACATAACTTCTCTGACTTTAGGTTTTAAACGCAATTTATTTAAACGCCCCCAAATATTATGCCAATCATACATCGGATAAACTCCTTCTACCGCCGCTACCAGAGCCTTACCATCTGCCCTATCAAGATTTCTCAATTTAATTTGTGAGTGATCCCTCACGTTTATGAAGACCCGTAACATTGCCTCACCATCATGAACTCCGACCCCCCCACCACCGTCGCATATCCTGATGTTATCCTATGAAGACCGTTCTTCTTTCGCCCCCCCCCCTCCCGCTTTATAAACTTGTTTTAAATACATACTTATTATCCTCTTTTCGACATCTATAAGACCCAGCCCTCCACGGCCAACCGGGAGTGTGACAACCGCTCTACTTAACCATTCGCTCCCTGTTCCCCAAATGAATCTAAAAACACTTTTTTGTAACCTTTTTAATTCACAACGAAGTATCGGAAATATTACCGTAACATGCCATAGTTTACTATATAATAGCACATTCGTTGTTATCACCCTTTGTTGCAAACTTAAATTAGCAGCTCTTAACCCACTAAGACGCTTCA